AGAGAAGCTCTGATGATATTTTCGGCAAAGACATTAAATAGAAGAGGGGACAGAATGCACCCTTGACTCACTCCTCGTTCTATGTTTACATAATTGGTATTTCCATTGTCTGTTCGAACACATCCTGTATAGTTCCAGTATGTATTGCTTATTATCGCTATGTTAGATTAAATACTGTTTAGACACAGTTTTTTTTTCAAGTTTGGACTATTTAAAAAGAAAAAGACTATTGGTATAACAAAATTGAAGGTATTTTCTTGTGGCATTGTAAATTAATTACTATTTATAACTGGGAATCAAGCCACAATTAAAGATAAAAATACGTTTATTAGTAAATTTACTATTTGTATTTTGAGAACGATTTCCGAATTGGAAATTGAAACGTCAATAAACGTATTTTTATCTTTAATTGTGGCTTATTCCCCAGTTATAAATAGTAATTAAAATTGAAGGGTCGATCAAAAATACGCGGAAATTCCATCATTTATCTACTAGATTTTAAGGTTATGAGCCAATAAAGTGGGAAACTATTAGAAACAGACGATTTTGTCGCAATTTGAGAATTTGTAAGTTAAACATAATAATTTTTAAAACAATGATGATTCATAGCTCGTAAGAAAATAGATGGTAAAGCATACATCTAAACTATCTGATTTTGAGGTAATGTAAAAAAAAGTGCAAAAAGGATAAAAAAACGTGGTATTTTCGAATTTTATCCTTATGAATCCTTATGTGCAAATACATGAGTAAAAAAACAATTTGTTTATTTTTCGATGCTTTCTGCTCAGAAATTAAAAATTCTGCCTTGGCCAATTTAAAAGAACGAAAAAAAAACATATACAATTACTATTTAAAAGTTAGCCAAAAATAATTAACATAACCTAAGAAATTATTAAAAATTTCAATGATTTTTACTGAGCTGAATTTTCAATATAAAAATTAGAAAAAAATCAGGTTATTCTGTATGCAAAAGATGCATCTTAAATAATTTATTTTTCATATTTTTTAAAGCAAAATTGCGCCCAAAAAAAAAATAAAGTCGAAAAAAGCTTCATTTTTAGATTTAAGAGGTTCTATGGGCTCTGGAAAGCTAAAAATTTCTATGAAGTCATGTTTTTATATGCTTAATTGAATGCACAAGTCACAGTGCTGATCGGTGTGGGGGCAATATTGACGATCTTATCCCGTTATAGCCTTTCAAGAATTTATGTTCTGAATTATTTTTGTACATTTTTCTTTATTCAGTGTTTCGTTTTGTCCATCATTGAACATGCAGCTCATCTAATTATTTATCCAGCCATTATTATCATCATCACCATCAACCTGTATGCGTTCACTGCTGGACATAGGTCTGCCTCAGCTCTTTCCATATGTCTCTGTCTTGTGTGACTTGCATCCAGTTCTTCAGGTCGTCAGTCGATCTAGTTGCTGGGCGTTCTGTGCTCCGTATTGCTTTTGCCTTGGTCATCAGTCTAAAATAAGTTTTGTCCATCGGTTGTCTGATAATCTAGTGACGTGTTTTACCCAATCCTATTTTAACGACGCGATTTTTTCGATAGCGTTTGTTGTTTTTGTTCTACGACGTATTTCTTCGTTTAAAATTTGGTTTTTTAGAGAGACACCCAATATATGGCGCTCCATAGCCATCTGAGTCACGCGAATCTTATTAACTACCTTTTTTGTGAGTTTTAGTGTTTCCGCTCCATATGTGAGTACAGGTAACACACATTAGTCAAAGATTTTCATTGAAATGTTCACAAATTTCATTCACTTGTTAAATCCGATTTAAATACACAGTTTAATTTACCAAACGCTGCCCAGGCTAATGCTTCGATTAGTTTCACCTGAAGAAGCTACATACAGGTGTAGCGATAGATTGATGAAATTTATCAAATTGGCTGTAGCAATTCAAATATGTATCAAATATGTAACATCGATTCATTAAAGCAATGTTAGTGTTACAGGGTGGCCAGGGAGACCGAGGCGTATAGCATGGGCCACCCTGTATATACCATATTTAAAGAGTTCACTGCCTTAGCTGAACATATGATAAGTTTCAGTTCCATTCAATTAATATAATTTTAAATGTTTGTTTTTAAAGAACTTTTGTGGACATCCTATACAGGGTGAGTCATGAGGAACTTTACATACTTCTACCATATGTAGAGTCCCTCAGGGAGCATATCATGTGGCCACTAAAAAATGTCAACTCCTCTTCATTATTAATTAACAGGGTGATTTGTGTAATTGGCCATTTATTTCATTTTACTGTAGTGTTTATACGGCTCATTTAATTTTTTTAATTTTTGCATGATACAGTACACTACTATCAAGCATTCGACTGGTATTAGCTAAACTAAAAAATTCCAGGACTGGCTTTGGAAAAATTAATTTAGGGATTCGTATTAAATATTACACCCTGTATATATATTTTTTAAAATGCAATAAGTGATTTTCAAACTACATAAATTATAAGGTAATTAATTTAAACAAATGTTATAGATTTCAAACATTTTAATTAAATGAGTTCCTACAACATAATCTAATACGTAGAAAATTAACATCTTTACTGTCACTTTGTATTATCTCTACGATAGAATCAATTGTTTTTCAATTTTAAATTTTTACTCATAGATCGTATTGGGGCATTATTTCGATAAATAATAAATTAAATTGATTAAAAATCAAACCTCTTGGATGTGTTAGTTTTTGTTGATTGTAAATGATTAAAATTTTATGTCAAATAATAATACATTGCATCAACTGTACTAAATAAAAATAAATCTAAAAAAGTTTAAAATGAAGCACCATTTAAAAAAAAACTAAAAATATGTACATAGTTATGATAAACCCATAAATTAGAACTGGAAAAGATACAATAATGGTAACAGAATAAAAATAATTCAAAATAGATTTTCGAAATGGAACCCTGCAGCCTCTACACATTTTTGTTGCCGAATTGTTAATTGACGTATTGAATTACGGATACTCTGGGGATCGTTTCTAATAGTATTACAACAATGTATAATTCTATCAATTAATTGTTGTCGGTTATTAATATTCACTGCGTAAATAGTTGCTTCAATCGTCCCCAAATATGGTAATCAACGGGATTGAAATCAGGGAATCTTGAAGGCCACGAAATAGGACCTGCACGTCCTATTCACCTGTTGCCATAAACATTATTGAGATGTTGTCTCATTGTAGAAATTTGTAGAATTGTAGAATTTTGTAGAAAGTTCAAATATACCTGCCCTGTTAAAGGACCATCAAAAAAGTGAGGACCTTCTAATTGGTTATTTATGACACCAATCCACACGTTAACCGAAAACCTTAACTGAGAGCGACGTTCTCGAATAGCATGGGGATTTTCTTCTGCGCACACATGTGAATTTCGTGAATTATTTATCCCGTCTCTGGTAAATTGGGCTTCATATGTACATAGTGTCCTATATAGCGTTGGTCGATTATTGTTAATCCATCTACAAAATTCCAACCTATCGATCTCATCTCCAGAATGTAGTCGCTGAGACCATTGAATGTGATATGGGTATATATTATTTTTTTGTAAGACTCTACTTACTTTTGATTGAGTAACATTGAGTTCTCGACTTACTTGTCTAGTGCTTATTGTACGGTTCATAGTAACGGCGTCCATAATGTCATCTTCCTGCGCTTCATCTACATGTCGCTCTGTTGTTCCACTAGGAAAAGTGCCATTTTCTCGCAAATAATTAAAAACTGTCCCAAATGTTGGATGACTGGGAGTTCGACGATTAGGAAATCTCCTGCGATATTCTCTACTAGCAGCCCTACCATTCCCATTACAGAATCCATAAACAAATATTAGGTCTGCATATTCTGTGGTCGAAAACTGATGTGGCATTTTGAACGAAAGTAACAAAACTCTACCAAAACTAACACAATGTACTTAACGTAGATATGACAGAAGAAATATGTATTCTTGTACACATAAATAACAATTGATAATGACAATAATGACAATGGTATATAAATATCAAGAAACGTCAAACGGTCAACGCCAACCTTCATTTTAAACTTTTTTAGATTTATTTTTATTTAGTACAGTTGATGCAATGTATTATTATTTGACATAAAATTTTAGTCATTTACAATCAACAAAAACTAACACATCCAAGAGGTTTAACTTTTTAATCAATTTAATTTATTATTTATCGAAAATAATGCTCCAATACGATCTATGAGTAAAAATTTAAAATTGAAAAACAATTGATTCTATCGTAGAGATAATACAAAGTGACAGTAAAGATGTCAATTTTCTACGTATTAGATTATGTTGTAGGAACTCATTTTAATTAAAATGTTTGAAATGTATAACATTTGTTTAAATTAATTACCTTATAATTTGATACATTATTATGGTTGTTCTATTTTTGGTAAGATTTGATCGTTCACTAAAAATTTAATAAAAGTGCGACAACATTGTCGCATATGTCGTTTTCATTGGCTATTTATGTAGTTTGAAAATCACTTATTGCATTTTAAAAAATATATATACAGGGTGTAAGATTTAATACAAATCCCTAAATTAATTTTTCCAAAGCCAGTCCTGGAATTTTTTAGTTTAGCTAATACCAGTCGAATGCTTGATAGTAGTGTACTGTATCATGCAAAAATTAAAAAAATCAAATGAGCCGTATAAACACTACAGTAAAATGAAATAAATGGTCAATTACACAAATCACCCTGTTAATTAATAAAGAAGAGGAGTTGACATTTTTTAGTGGCCACATGATATGCTCCCTGAGGGACTCTACATATGGTAGAAGTATGTAAAGTTCCTCATGACTCACCCTGTATATACTTTATTAAATTAGCTTCAAATTTAAAGTTTAAACGAGACGTAAATTAATAGAAAATGAAATGGAAGATAAAAGATTCATCGATAACGTATTGTTTTTGTTTTTTTACTGTTTTCTGTTGTAGTTTTTCACTGTATGTTTTGATTTGATTTGCAGCAAGGCAACAAAAAAAGAGAATCAATGCCTATGGTTCCTAACGAAATCATAACTTGCACCAATTGTGGACCAAATCCTTGTACACATACTGCAAATAATGGATGTCCAGAGGTAAATACATTTCGTTACCATTTTTAGGCTCGATTTTGCAGTAGAGGTTCACTTTTAAATGTTTTATGAAAAAATTTACATGATACTGGGTAATCTTTATACTGGTACAACAACTTGTTTTGCAAATTATTTTATTTTCTTAAATTTTTTATTTCATATCATACTTGAAATAATTAATATTTGTAAATTTTTTCTTTTTTTTCTCACCAGAAACATTAATAAAATAAAAGAAATTGAAACACTAATTTTGTTATTTAATTATACAGATTTATACATCACAGCATCATATTATGAAGAAAAACACTTATTACGATTGATACTCTAATTCCTTAAGCTCTACGATAATTAAGTTTTAAAAGTGATTAAAGAAACTATCTTTCCTTGTCACTTTATGCTTTTTCTTCTACTTTTTATTGTACAGTGTTGTGGCGTTAAGTTTGTTTCTTGTCGTCATACTCTTACGATTTGCTTGTCCTTCCTTTGAGCTCCTTCCAGTGGGTGCTTTATATCTCACTGTTTCTATTACAGTAATTTTTGCATTACAAACAAAGATTAGAATGTTTAAGAATTGAATTAAGAGGATTTTCGGATACTATGCAGTCGAAAATACAACAAAAATTTGTTAATGAATGACTAAGAAAAATCCCCTTTTTTAAGTTAAGTGCGACTCCACGAAAAGTAGAAACAAAGATTGGTTTGACGAAGAGTGTACAGGCGATAGCAAAGGAAAAGAAGAAGATCAGACAACAAAATTAACAGATCATAGAGAGTGTAGAAAACAAGAATATCGAATAATTCGAAGAAGATTGAAAGCTCTGTGTAGAAGGAAAAAGAGATACCACATTGAGTTAAAATTAAAAAAGATAGAAAAGAAGTTTAAAAACAAAAAAGTAAGGTCGTTCTATCGGTAAGGTAAGGTAAGTTAAAAAGATGGGAAAAGGTTACCAAAGCCACTACAGTTATATGAAAGGTAAAGACGAAATTTTAATTACCGATCCGGCAGAAATAATGACGGAATGGAAAAAAACATTTTGAAGAATTATTAAATGGTGAGGTATACCACGAAGGAGTAGACAACTGGACGGTTGGAGAAGGTGCGAAAGTTGAAAGGCAGCCTACAGAGGAGGAGGTGGTGACAGCAATACAAGAAATGAAAAATAACAGAAGTCCTGGTAAAAATGACATATGCATGAAAATGATCAAGTTTGATGGAGAACAACTACAAAGAAAAATATCAGCTACTAGTGCAAGTATGGGAAAAGGAAATAATGCCATCGGAGTGGTATGAGGTCCGCATATGCCCTCTGCATAAAAAAAGAGACAAACTGAAGTATGGCAACTATAGAGGTATAGCCTTACTAAACACGGTATACAAAATCTTGGCAAGAATATTGAGAAATAAACTAAATTGCTACACGGAAAGAATCCTGCATGAACATCAGGTCGGCTTTAGAAAGGACAGATCTACTGTAGACCAAATCTTCTCATTAAAGGAGATACAAACGACTTGTTATAAACGTAAAGTTCCCTGCATGTTTTGTTTGTGGATTTTAAACAAGCATATGATAGAGTCGATAGAGTCAAAATGTATCGAGCAATGGAACATTTGGGTATACCAAAGAAACTGATCCGACTAGTTAAAATGACACTTAATAACTCTACGTGTGAAATTACTTGGCAGGGTCACATATCAGATCAATTTACGGTTGCAAAAGGCTTAAGATAGGAAGATCCTTTATCCACTACATTATTCAACTTAGTGTTAGAAACTGTAATCAGAAAATGCAGCATGAAGGTGGAAGAAACGATCATGAAAATGAGCACAATGCTTGACATTTGCTGACGATCTAACGATCCTAGCAAAAACCGAGAAAGAATTAAGAAGAGTTGTAAAGAAAATCATCGAAGAAGCACAGAAATTCGTATTGGAACTAAATGAAGACAAAATCAAATGTTAGATCATAGGAGGGACAGAAGGGAAAAAAGAAGACTTTAGTGTGAGGTCTGTAAGTGGTAAAAGCTATAGTTTTAAAAGGGTGGACAAATTTGAATACCTGGGTGTAGTTTTCGATGAAAATGGAAAAGAGAAATGGGAGCTCGAAGCCAGAATAGCAAAAGGGAATAAAAAATTAGGTAGTTTAAGAGCCGTACTGAACTCAAAATACGTTTCTAGACAAGGTAAACTCAGAATATATAAAACAGTAATTTGATCCACAGTAAAATATGTTGGTGAGACATGGACATTAAATAAGAAGGAAAGATACTCTGGAAAGATGGGAAAGGAAAATATTGAGACGCATATTCGGAGGACGGAAGACAGAAGATGGTTGGGAGAGAAGAACCAACAATGAATGGCTTTATACAAAGGATCTACCATTACCAAGTTCGTTCAAGGCACAAAGAATCAGATGGTTGGAATATGTGGAAACAATGGCAGCAAACAGAATGCCTAAACTAGTAATAACCAGAAAATTAATCGGCCTCCAAAGATGTAGACCCAGAACGAGGTAGATTAGTAAAGTGGAGGAGACCTTAAACACGTGAAGGTGAGGGACTGAAAAAAAAAGCACAAAATAGACGGGAATGGAGAAATATTGTACATCAGCTCCTTCAGACTAGTTAAGAATGTTGTATATACATAAGTTAAAGTTGTGTTCAAAATAATTGTAATTAGTTAATATTAGGATTATGTTGTAAAAAAATGCCGTAGGCCTTAACGGCCTGTTGTGTGTAAAGAAAACTCCCTGGTCTGAGAAAATATCGAATTCGAAACTATAAAAAATAATAATTAGGGAAGATATTACTTTTAAAGCTAAATGAAAGAACTACTGGCGAAAAATTACAACGAGAGAGCATGTAAAAATTTGATTAAGTTGGAAAGAAATCAAGTGCAAGACACCAACGACAGACGCAAAAATGCTCTCAATACTCTATTAGAAAAAAAAGCACTAGGGAGATTATTTGTCTTCATCCGTGTATGAGAATAATGATCTAGCTAACTTTTTATATATTGCAGTTTTCCAGTCACTTTAGTCATGGTTGCTTCTATTTTAACTATTACTATAGATTTTTCTAGCTATTCCAGAGGCTCAAGTAAAATGCTGCCCTAAAAAACGCCAAGACAAAAAAATAATCATTGAAATAAAGCAACTAATGGAAACTACAAGAAAAATCAAAGGAAAAGAAAGCATTGGCGAAGAAGAACTGCGAAAAATAAACAAAGAAGTATCAAACGCTATAAAAAAAGATTTAAGAAAATTTAAGAATGAAAAAGTCCAGCAAACTATAGAAGAGAATAAGAGTCTGAGAAATAGAGAAAAACTACTACACATAGTTGAAGACTTCTATCAAGAACTATACACAAGCCAAAGAGAAGACCAAAAGAACTTTAAAGCCGCCGAATCACGCAAAATTATCAACCACGGTTCGGAGCTCATGCCAGAGGACGCAATGAAAAAGATGACAAACAACAAAGCGCCAGGAGAAGATGGAGTCGTAATAGAAGCTATAAAGATGGGCGACGTGTCCTTCTTAACCAAATCAAAATGTTGTTTAACCTTTGTCTAACAGATTGTTGTATACCAAAAACATGGAACAATGCAGTAACAATTTTACTACACAAGAAAGGACACAAGGCGCACCTAGTAGACTGTAGACCAATCAGCTTATCACATCTATACAATGTTTACCCGAATAATTACTGTAAGACTAAAGAAAAAGTTAGATTTCTACCAGCCTTGAGAACAAGCTGACTTCCGCTCAAAATTCGGAACAAACGATCACCTACAAACAGTAAAAACCTTAATAGAAAGGTCGCTAAAATATAACAGACCACTGATACTTATCTTCTTAGACTTTCACAAAGCCTTCGACATTGAAAATAGACAGCATTATAACTGCTCTGAACTATAGAAGAATAGATTACCGGCTTACAAAGTTAGTACAGATATTATACCAAAACGCCACAATGCGTGTAAAACTACATGATACCACCAGAGAAATTCATATCAAGCGAGGTGTGAGACAGGGCGACACTCTCTCACCTAAATTGTTTATAACGGTCCTCGAGTTCGCCTTTAAAATGCTAAAGTGGGAAAATAGAGGAATAAAAATAGATGGAGAAATACTCGAACATCTGCGTTTTGCCAACGACATAGTACTTATTACCGAAGATCTGGGTGAAGTACAACAAATGCTATAAGAATTAGAAAACGTATCTTCAACAATAGGTCTAAAAATGAACATCAGTAAGACCAAATTGACCATGGTAGAATTGACAGAAAAGTACATATATCTTGGTCATGAAATCAGAATAGGCGAGGACAACCAGACCTGCGAATTTCATCGACGAATAACACTTGCTTGGGCGGTGTATGGTCCACTAAAAGACATCTTTACGAGCAACAATCAAGATAGCTGGATGTTGCTCACAATAGATAGATAGATAAAAACTTACTCGTTTAAGAGTCTAGATTGGAATATATGGGAGAGGAATACAGTATGGAGAGACAAACAAATAGTAACATTAATGCACTACGTTAATTAAAGTGAAAACGGGCTTTTTGCAGGACCTGACAATATAGATGTAGAGTTACTTAAAGCAGGAGATCCACTTCTAATAGAACGAATCACTTTTCTAATGAAATAATGCTACCAAAAAATTAGTGGCCAACAATTAGCCAACAAAGTACCATCTGAATGGAAAACCGCTCACCAAGTGTCCATCTTTAAAAAGGGTGATCGAAAACATCCTAACTGCTACAGAGGATTAAGTGTCCTACCTGCTTTCGGGAGATTGTTTAGAAAGATAATAAATGGAAAAATATAAGATGATGAAGGACATCTAATTAGCGAAGATCAAAGTGGGTTTACGCCTGGTAGATCTTGCACTGACAACTTGTTTGTACTTTAGCAATTAATAGAAAAAAGAATAGCGGTTGGTACCGAAGTACATCTAGCCTTCATCGACCTAGAAAAGGCGTATGATACAATTCCAAGAC